TATATATATATATATATCAATGATCTAATGATTTATACATGATGTAGACACACCATGAATTGTCACCGTCCGATTGACACCCCACATGAATTAATGACAATGTCGAGAACGGTATTATAGATATTAGACGCGATTAAATCGCGATTACGAGTGATTCGCTTCAATTTGTAGCAGCGCCTATTAAATATCGATTTCCGCGCGGCAGAATTTCCATTTGCCGCGGAATATGGAGGCGGTCGGTGGTGGTGCTTTATCGTGGCGCAGCTATCGATTGCTTCTACCACTTGCTACCTTCTTCCTTCTCTTTCTCTCCTTTTTATTTTTACTTTTCCTTCCCCCCCCCTTTCTCTCTTTTTTTTCTTTTTTTCTTTTACAATATCGTGCGATGAAAACGTTGCTGCGCATGCAACAAGATATCGGTGAGAGGAATTAAAGCGGCGGTTTCGATTTACCACCACGACGGAACGAATTGTTCTCGTGACCGAAAGATCGATCACGAAATACGGATCCCCCATTTCGCCTCTCTCGTTGCTTATGTGTCAACATTATTATATCGACAAGCTGACTGTCGTGTTAGCTGTTATTGATTCCAAGTAATGCACGCTAAGGACTGTTTACGGTAGTTCTCGAAAGAAACTCGATTCTAGGAACGCCATGTACGTATGAAATGGTTAATAAGGATGTTTCTGATTTTCTGATATGGTATAAGTGGGCTTTAAGATTGATTCGATAAGATTGTTATAATTTTCGGTGACGTTGTATTGGAAATTGTTATTGGGGATAGTTTACTGGAAATTTTATGCGGTACTAGAGTTGATGATTAGAGATTGTTGGTAAGAATATAGTAGAAAATACGTGTATAAAGACTGCTGGAAATATATTGTGGATAATAAATATGTTCGACTATATCTAATAGATTAAAATTACATAAGATAATAGTTATTAATATCGCGTGCGTTAAATATATTACAGTGACTAAAAAAGAAGTACTATTAAATAATTATTCTAACTTTTTATTACTAAATATACGTTTGATTAATTATTGTTTGAAAAGGAAAATAAGCTTGAATTTCTATTTTAAGTAATCTTGTAATTCAAATATTCTTTTTCCATCGCTAATGAAAAAAATCAAACATTAAATAGATAGTTAACACAAAACAACATCTCTAGAGAATAAAATTACAAAACAGCTTCAACGAAACCCACGTAAAATAATAA